TTTCTTTATCATCTCTGTCTCCTTTCTAGTTCATAGTTCCTTGGCCTAAGCTTTACCACATTGAACTTTGCTGATAATCTCAATATCTATACGCCATGAGTGTATTTGGCATGTCATGCAAAACTTGAAAATCAGCCAAAATGGTTGGCTAAATTTAGCAGCTAATACGTCTACATGTCAACTTCATCACCATTCGCGTCATTTTTTGAAAAAGTCAGCGTGCCATTCTTGCGCTAATTCAGAACAGACCTAGAACGCTGTCACTGTTTTATTTCTTAAAATAGCACAAGAAAATCAACACACTGTAAATACTCCACAGGTTGAACTTTTGTGTAACAACTTCTGAGAGAGGTAAGAAAAATTAATCATAAGCACCATAGTTTAGAATGAGGGGGGGGGGGGGGCGACGGCACGGGTTACTATATAAGACGGATCACCCCGCTTCTCCCTCATTTTCCTCATTAATTATTTCCCCCCCCCCCTGTTTCCATTACTGGGGTGGGGGGGGGGGGGTAAGTGCCTCTCCGATAGGCCCTGTAGCTAAGCCATTGCTTGCAACCATCGTTCACTGGCATCTCGAGAGGGGGAGGGGGCTCTGGTCTACCTTAGGCTCGCTGAGTGATAAATGTGAATTACAATGCCTGCATGGCTATCAGCTATTCGACCCATTTTTCTTTCCTCCCTTTCCCCCTCTTATTCCATGGTCTTTCGATTAGGCGCGGTATATAAGCCCCCCCCCCCTCCCCCCCATTTGTACACCACTGACTATATTATGATCAACACTAACAAAAAGGTTTCGATAATTGCAGCCGAGAATTGAAAATCGTCTGCTGGGTAGGGGTAGGCCTATTTGTTCGAGATGATCCGTAGCGTAATAACAATTCCATTTTCGAATGAATCTGCTCCGAGTCCTCCCTTTTTATTCTTTCGGCCAAAGTTTCCCCTGCTACACAGCTGAGCCGCCCCTCCCCCCACCCCCCCCTTAAACTCGGCACGATGTATACTCTACCATTATTGTGTTTTGTGATACATTTTTGCTTCATAGGTATTTGTTCGTAATTACTCCGTGTAGAAATTTAAGTCATTTTCATAATGTTGTACCTTTACCATATCTCTTTCATGAATGTTGATACAAGAATGGAAATCAAATCTGAGTTTGAGCCATCATCGTTCATCGACCATACAATAATCTTGTCACGTGATGTTGAGTCACTCCTGCTGGGTAGCCCTTTGCACTTTCACCCATACCTAAATAGCAATCATATGTGACGACAATTGATGTCAGCAGAAGTCGGGATGCATGACCTGGGAGGATGGAGGGGGGGGGGGGGGGGGGGGGTATGTCGCATGGTTTCTGATCCCGCGATGGTCTCTAGCTAAACTAGCTAATAATTGTAAGTTTAAATGTCAGGATCAAAGTTTTCTCATGGTACCAAGATATGAAGTCTTTATGTTACTACGCATTAGGTTGTAGACTGCTTGTGGTCGACAAATCTGCATCACCACCAGTCTTACACACGTTACATGCAGGTCCCGCGGAACATTTTTCAAAGTGGAGTATTATCGATCAGGTAGAGCGTAAATTGGCGTGGGGTCCAGGGCATAAGCCTCGGCAGGGGTCAAGGGGCTGAGCCCCCGAAGCTCAGGGGTTTTAGGTATTTAATTACGGTTAGATGAGCATCCAGGGGCCCTCTGTAAGGCAACTGACGTGTTCCAAGGGGGGGGGGGGGGAGAGCCCCCAGAAGCTCAGAGGTTTTAATATTTAACTACGGTCAGATGAGCATCCAGGGCCGTCTTATGGGCCCTTGGTGTGGTCCAGGGGGCAGAGCCCCCGGAAGCTCAGGGTTTGAGGTATTTAATAACGGTCAGATGAGCATCCAGGGACCCGCCTTAGAGCCCTTGTTTGGGTCCAGGGCGGAGCCCCCGTTAGCTCTGGGGTTTTAAGCTTTTAATTACGATCAGATGAGCCTTTTTTTATACCTTATTTGTGACAATGGCAGGTCAACTTTTTTTTTCTCCGTCTTTCTTGCGTTTTGTCCCCCCACTTTTTTGACTGGGGGGGGGGGGGCAACTGCCCCCTGCCCCCCCCCCACTTCCGTCCGGCGCCTATGTGTACAGTGATAACGTATTCCATCAGAATAGCACTAGCCCTGTATTTTTCATAATAAACACGACCTAGGCTTCCCCCCCCCCCCCCTCTTTTGGGGCAGTATCTATACTTTTGTATAATACCCTCTTTGTTAATAAAGTGATATGGAACCCGCGTAGGCTTACGTATAATGAGATGAAGTCATGAGAAGATGCCAAGTTTGGGAGTATTTTTTTTTTTTTTGCAATTTAAAGAGATATTTACTACTAAAACTGTTACCTATATTAATTTTGTCAAAATGGTCAAAGGATGGATTTTCGAATTCTTTCTTTCCTTGAAAAGTGGGTGGGAATATTCATACAGGCGATCCCCTAGCTGGACAAGTAAATATGATATTCAATTTGTTGTCATCATTTTGATCGAAATCATCGAGAGCTAATGTTAGCTGGAAAAAAAAACCTATTCTCTTCTCTCCCCCCCCCCCCCCCCCCATCTTCTCTCTCTCTCTCTGTCATCCATTTTCCTCTTTCTGCAGTTCTCTCCGTTTCTCTCTCCCTTTTCTTTCCCTCCCTATCATCCAACCAAAGTATCTACCCATGCCGATTCTGTGGCATCACGACAGTGCAAGGTCAGCATTTTCCTAAGAAAAGGTAACAACCTTTCCGGAGTTCTGAATCTTTGTGATTCAACATCAACTGTGATTTGTTCCCACCAGGTGTGGAGGTCAAACGGTGGCACGTACACTCATTTTTCTGGAATGCCGAATGGTGCGGATGAATAGGTCAAAATGACGATTGTTGATTCAACTTTTAACTATGCATGAGTCATGGTGATATCACTTACATTCACGCTTATCAATCATTTTGGGGAAAGTATCCAGCAAGAATTGAGATGAATGGATTGAAACTGAGTGATAGATATATAGATCCAACTTCAAAATTGGACTGCTGCCTCACCGCCTAGCTCATTGCGTTGAAATACAATACTGTACATTGAATGGAGATTATGGAGTGAGCAAACGGAGGCAGCATCCACGATTTTAACAAATGGCAAAAGTATTGAAACAACAAAAACGGAGGGGGGGGGGGGGGCACAACATAACAACAATTAGTTTTCTTCCTCAAACATTAAAACTATAGTAAGGCCCCTACTATGCATATGTGTTTTTTTATGAAAATGAAATGAATAAACTACGTACATATCCGGGCGAAGTCAAATACGCATATCACAGTGCCAGGTCAACAACCAGATTTAAAAAGTTACAGAGACACAATTATGCTGATTTATTTAAGAAGTTTATGTGATACAAGAAAATATATGCATAAATGTACAATATCAGCAAAATAGTTTAGCACATTACATGTCTCCAGGCCAGTGGCGGATCCAGGGGGGGGGGGGGGGGGGGGGGGGGCGGGGGGCCCGGGCCCCCCCCCCCCTTGAGAAAAAAATCATGTAAATAACGTGATTTTTACCTTTTTTGGGGGTTGGGCCCCCCCCCCCCTGGCGCTCAAGGGGGGGGGGGGGGGGGGTGGGGGGGGTGCAAATTGAATTTTTTTTTGAGGATCAAAAAAAAAAAAATGTGCTCACTACCCCCCCCCACTGAGCGAATTTTTGGCAGGCGCGTTTTTTCAAATTTTCGGGAGCAAAAAAAAAAAAAAAAAAAAAATTTGTGCTCTGTACCCCCCCCCCCCCCCCCCCCCCCCCCCCCCACCCCCCTGAGCGACTTTTCGGCCGGCGCGATTTTCAAATTTTCGGGAGCAAAAAAAAAAAGTTGGGCCCCCTCCCCTAAGAAATCCTGGATCCGCGCCTGCTCCAGGCTAAAATAATATGACGATAAAATCGTCCGGGAATGAGCTGCAGATAATACAGTCAAACGTAAGAATGAGCCCCTAAACGGTTGATACCACATAAAAATATCCATTTCGTCACCTAATAGTAGATCAATCTTAACCTAAGCTGCTAGCAGGTATCATGAATCAAACTAAAGAGCATATATGCTGGTAATATTTTTTGACATCCTTTTTCCTTCTCTTTTACCCAATATCAATTTACTAACAGTCTCTGTCTATCAAGATCATCAATACTTCATATTTTCTTATTGTTATGCTGTATTCAGAAAAGTAAACTCTAGAACTAGACATTCTAGTTAACACTGATTTTTTTTTTTATGAAATATATATAATAATTGTAATCACACAACCACAATTTAATCACATTTGCTCTGATTTTAAATAAAATTTCTGAATCCACTATAAAATGCCAGGATAGAGGTCAAATAATGCATCATAATCCAAAATATTGCTACATGTATTACTGTTATACTAGTCTAAAACACAGACTTGCAATTTTACACTACGAAAATGTGAAGATATACCGAGCCGTGTCTGCATTGCCTAATCAGCAGGCAGTGATTGGCTCTCTAAGGACAAATAGATCAATTAAACAGCTGGATAATCATATCATTTGTCAGAGAATACAATACAAAAAATTAACTACATATTTCAGAGGTTCAACCAATTGCTCAACTAGAGCAACATCGAAACCATGCACTACGTACAAGAGAGAATAAAAGCAATCAATTTCGGCATTACATGATCAAATATGAATTGTAAAATATAAAATAGAACTACAAGTTCAAGACAAAATCATCTTTCTAAATAATGATTATTACTTTATCAGTCTACCTTTCCTACGTATAGTACTTCTAGACGAAAAAGAATTACAGAAATAAAGACTTCCTAGGGCACTAGTTCCTTTTCAGGGCCCTCACTCCTCCAGGAGGAGTTGCAATTATTGAGAATTGTATTTAAGTCCTCTCATTATCACAAAATCATTATCATCTCATCACCAGAAGGTTTAATTAAAGTCGAGAGCACATTGATTGGTAATCTGGTAGCATGTGCCACAATGAATTTCTTAAAGTGAATTGCACCACCATTCGGTTATAATTTTTTAAACCTCAGTTGCCTATTAAACAAATGCAAATAAAAACCAAGGTAATCACTCTATACAATTTATCAAAAAAAAGGTAACGTATTACAGTTCAACTATAAAATTAAATTGAGTGAAAATTGTATTGAATGAAAGATCAAAACAAATTTAAATATCATGATTTATTATCTCCAATAAGTGTCTGCTGTAAGACAAAAGTGAAAATACTTATCCATATTTCAAATAAGTATTCTTAAGGAATGTTAACATTGCAGTCTTTCAATTTATAAAATCCATCTGTCAAACTCACGGTATGATTTGCTGGGGAAATGTTCCCTAGAAGTATGGAAGACAGTAATGTACATAATCAAAATAAAGAATGATGTATTGAGCAGGGTGGGGGAAGGGGAGGAGGGGCTCTCTGGTTTGTTTGGAGGATCATGCCCCCTCCCTCCCCCCCCCCCCCCCCCCCCCCCCCGCCCCCAATTGATGTCCATGATGGTGACAAGAGTTTTTTATTCTGGAAGCTCTGGATAAAACATAGGAAGACATTTTAACCGACATGTACTGTTGATTGCTTGGCACATTGGGGTTTTTATTTCTATTTTGTTGTTAAACAATGCCAAATAAATATGTACATATAAACTTGAGAAAGTACTGACAGTAAAATCCTGTGCCCTGAAGTAAAACATATAACCCATTAAAACTTTAGATTTCAATCATTGAAATTAACATTCTTTATGCTTTCCTTTGTTTTCGTAATTCAGTTGTAATGTCAATTGAATTCAAGTAAACAGCTTTGTTTTAGGAAGATTTCTGTATCCAAAATATGAACAAGATTACATTCCATCTCCTTGGGGTGTTTCACAAAGAACCTAAGTCGAACTTAACTCTAAATTGGACCAAAAAACTATGGAAAACTCTTTTGTAACCTTAAAATAAAATATATTCAGAAGCAAAAATTCAATTATTTTAGACTTTTCATAGGTTCCACATCAGGAACATGATATCTTCTTGATAATAGAAAATATGAATGACCTGAATCAACATTTTATGCCTTTTAAAATTACTTTTACTTTTATTTGTGAAACACCCCCCTCGTATTTGTGACCCTTGCAATTATTACAATAGTCTGTCGGCACAGCCTCTAAACTGACACTTCAACACAATTCCATAAAGTCTTGAGCAGAACCTAGCTCTAGGTGCACTAGGCCGAGTGTGCAAACGGTGTGTAGGCTCTTAGTTCAAACACTGTTATGCACTATAACTGACAGGGGCTTGAGCATGCCACAAATTAATACATGGATTTTCATCAATAACTAACCTGTGCAGTACTCAAACTCTATGCACTATAAACATGATGATGATGATGATGATGATGATGATGATGATGATGATGACGATGAAACATAAAACTCTACCTGTTCTGAAGTGACTAGTAGTATTTCACTGCCTAAAATAAAATAAATTACATACATGTACATGGTATTCAGTGTTACATGAGAAGTAAAGTAAATAGCACTTTTTTTTCCTTTTTTTTATAATTTTTTTTTTCAATTTCTTTTTCTTTCCATTTAAAAAAAAAAAAAAAAAAAAATTAATAAATATGATACAAATTGATATAAAAATAATGGATATAAACCATTTCATTTTTTTAAAGAACCCTTTCAACTTCGAGGTAATTATTTTATGGTTTGCACTTCACAATCTAAAGGTAACGCAAATTTTGTCCATGTGTTGAAAGACGCAACACAGAACTAGCAAATATAAGATATAAGATATCAAAGGACTACATGTACCTTGAAGATAGAGCATTGTTCTAGGACTATAACAGAAAATAACAACCAGTTGGTTTTTATCTTACACTCTGTGCGAATGAATAAATCACACAAATTTATTCATATTTCATCTAAACCTCCCTCCTTAGGCATTCAAAGTGAATCTACTTTTGGAAAACAAAACAAAGACAAAAACATTTTTACTTGTTTACTGTGGCCGAAAGAAATGCAGCAGTCTTCTAAGTTCTAGTCTAGATAAAAACATCTATAACCTTTAAAATAAAAGGGTGTGGTATCTGAAACCATGGGAACTGCAATTCACTCAGTTGAGCCGGGGGACTCGGTCATGTAGTTGACTCGGGCATGTAATTTAGTTTGAGAGCATCTCTTGTCCTCCCTCTCATGAAAGAGTTGTAATCTTTCAATAATATGTTTTGAGAGGGTGTGGTGTCCATCCAAAAAAAAACTTTTTTTCAATGTATTTTCAGCACTTCTTCTCAGAAAGTATGTGTTCACTGTATCCAAGGCAACTGCAATTTTTGAAATCAAGATAACTTGCCCTTCCTCTTATAAAGGGTGTAGTCCGTGCATGCAAAGTACCTACAAAATTTAATTTCATGGGATAAATATAATTCATTTTCAGAAGGGGGTATGGTCTGCAAAGAATCTTAGTTGAGGGCATCTCGCTTGTTGTCTGTTCCTCACAAAAATATAATATCTTATACAACATAACCACAGATTTAATCCATGAGCACTATTTATATCGTTTTTTTTCTTCTCAAAGGGGCGTTCTCAAGGCGAGTGCAAATTTCAGTCGAAAGCATTCTTGGACCCTCCCTCTCATGAGGGTGTGGTCACTGTATCCAAGGCAACTGCACTTCTCAGTTGAGACCATCTCTGGCCCTTCCTCTCATCAAGGGCGTGGTCTCCGCATCTGAGGGAACCGCTGCATTGGTCCAAGGAGGATGAGAGCGGAGGTACTCTACTGATGCTGAGTCGTCCACCTCTATCTCTGGTCTGCGGGTACTCAGGAAGGAGCATCCTGTTGGTCCCCAGTAAACAAGGGTGTTCAAGAAGGCTTGCAGAGGGTTCAGGATCGCCTAGACAAATGCAAAGTTACACCATATATTAAAGACATTTTTAATCCGCAAAAGTTCAAGTTCAAGTCCAAATGAGGTTTTTATTCATGACTTGTCAATGAAAGTAGTAACAAAAAAACAAACAAAAAAAAGATTAAAAAAAAACAACAAGATATGAAATATTGCTAGCAAAAATGAATAAATTTTTACATCAAAACAAATAAAATGTATAAAAATAAGTGAATTAAATTAACTGTAACATTGGAAAAATTGTGATGAAACTGTGTTGTGGTCTGCAATACAGCCTAAAGGTATGGACATGGAAATTCGTAAAAATGTTCAACTTTTTAAATTCAATATACATAAAATCATCGTCTGTCATTCTTTTAAGTTTGACTTAACAATGTTGTCTTTAACTTGATGTGTACGATCACTCACATGCTTTTGAGTTTCTATCTATATCATTCTCAGATAGAAGTCTTCAATTGTGTTTTCTGACAGTTACACTGACATTTTGGACAATGCCAAGTGAGGTGAAGCAGATTGTTATGACTTTCTAGTTATGACAATTGAAACAGTTAAAGTCTAATCATGGTTATAACTGTTCATTATCCTTTTCAAACTAGAACCAATCAGACTGGTAAAACATGTCAAATCTGTCACAAATCAGGGCCCCATTTCACAAAACTTGTCATCAGTGACAAATGACAGTGTTTGTTATAAGCTAGTGAAATCCTTGCTTCCGATTGGTTACCAGCAGATTTGTCACTGATATTTGTCATTTGACACTGAAAAAGGCTTTGTGAAACGGATCCCCGAACATTTCTGCCTCCCTCCTTCAATCAGAGAGATTTCTGACACACAGAGTTTTTGATCTACCGTAATTAACGTTGTACGTTTTTGTTTTTTTTGCCGACTCTGTCGGCAGCAAGCCAGGTCCGTGCTAAAAAACCCACGCAGGAAGGCCTTCCATTTAACTGCGAGGTGCAGCTGAATGTGTAAGATCATTAATGTAAATTAAAAAAACAGTAGAGGACCTAGGATAGAACCTTGTGGAATGCCGTTGGAGAAAAATTGGATGAATTATTATAAACTACATATTGAGATCTATCAGAAAGATTACTTTCAAACCAAGATGACAGACAAATTTGAGTGTTTTACTTTCGAGTGGGAGTCAACACAACGATTACTGAGCTGGGAGACATTGCCAGGCATAGCGCCAGGTGGAGGGGCATAAATAAAACTTTAATTTTTTATCTATTTATTTTTTTTTACCGTGTATAAACCGCACCCCCGACTTTGAATTTTTTTTCGGCGGCAAAAGGTGCGGTTTATACACCGTTAATTACGGTAAATACTAACAAGACCGTTTTAAACTCCAACAGATATTTCTAGTGTTCTCACCTCACGCCACATGTAATCTCCTAAACTTTTGTTGCAATTTGATTGTATATATTGGGGGGAGCATACAATGCCATTAAAGCCCGTCTGTACTAGTTTGGCAGGGGGGATTAGACCACCTTGCAAAGTTACTGACAGGTGGTTTCTCTCATCAATCAGCTCTCAATTAACATAAAAAAAGGGGACCATGGGGGACCAACAGTCACCGCTTAGGCATTGTTTACTATATAGAGGGCACAAGTAGCTATAAGTAGTGCAGTGGGGCTTTAATTCTTACCATGAGTATCCATATGATAGGGTAGAATTTCATATCAAATGGTACTCGACTCAGTAACATGATGCCATTGATTACATTGGGTAACCAGCTGCAAGAGAAAATGAAAAAAAAATTTCATACACGTAGACCAAGACATACCGGTTTAACTTGGTGCACTGATTCATGGGAATGCCAAGTGTCAAGCCATTCATTCCATACAAATTTACAGTACAGTAATAGTGTAACATAATTAATGCAATCACAAATAAACGCAGTCACAAAATAAACATGAAAAACAACTTTATAGCATGATGATAATTTTATGTATACATTGTATGTAGTATTTGTGGACTAACGATAAACTGGGACAAAAGTTGGTATGCTTTTATGAATACTGGTCAGTAGAAATAGATACCAATTTTAACATTTGTAACCTGTCAGCTCAGAAACACAAAATAATTATGTATTATCTGCAATTAAAGGTGCCAAGCTTTCAATAATATGTAACACTATCACTAGCCAGGCATAGGGGCACAAATGAATAAGTGGACAATGGTTGCACATTTCTAGCAGTAAACATTTCAGTCGATACAATATCCAAACTGGCAACTGTCATATTGACTAATTCTGCAATCGAAACTAAACTATTTATAGACCTTTGATCCCAAATAATGTCTTTGTGCAGTGCTATGGCAACACAGCAAAATACAAAAGGAGGATAATGTGAAAACCGTGACTGCCAGGATGGAGTTTAAATTTAACTACAGGTACTTGTATTTTGTGAGGAATTTGCCAAATAGGTTATCCTATGGATTCCTCAGGAAATCCTCTTAAAGGGGGAAGTCAAGATCCTTTCAATCTTTTTGCTCATATGTTGAACTAGGTACAGTACACTGGCTTTCTTTTTCATAATTTTGATGAATGCGGTGTGGTGTTTGGTTAGCTACATCCGACTTTTAACAGTATAGCTACAGGAAAATCATGATTTAGTATCTAGGCATATAATTAATTGTTCTGTCATTTGTTATGTTTTATCTTACTTCAGCTCCTTTGTTTAGAATGCAGATGCTTTTTTAAGTGATCTCTTTTTTTTATTAATTTTTTATTTCAAGTGAATGTGGCACCTTACACATCTCTTATTATATTTTAACATTATTATTATACTTTGCTTTAGGGCGTACAGCTGAAAAGCGAGAGACAACATAACTTGACTGGCATAAGCACTAGTTGAATTGTAAATTTGGGAGCATTAATCATTTCGAGTACAAAATTTGAGAAGTATATATCAAAATGCTATGCCGTTAAACTCTTTGTGAAAACATTGGTCTGATGAACCGCAAGTAACAGTACAAAAATGCATGGCAATGTTGAATAGCAATAGAGAAAAAAGACTGAACTCTCACTTTAGCCGACACCTCAAGACATGCAGTATACTCACCAAATCTCTAGAACAATCACGATCTTGAGGAATTTCTTCTTGACTTGTTTTTCCACCTCTCTCTCCCTGTCCGTATACACCCCCCTCTTAACATGGGTGATACTAAATAAAGAATCAAGAACAAATATAATCTCATTCACTTTAAAATCTCAAAGTCTCATTTCATGATTCATATCAATCGTAGGAAGGACTGATTCGACTTTCCATAAGGCCAGCTATTGTAACCTCCAGAGTGGTATACTACACATAGGTTCTGAATTTCATATCCTCTGCCTTAACCCATTTCATACTGACACCGGGGTGGTTCCTGTATTAAGCCTATGGAAATGTGAGAATCAAGTAGTCAATGGGTTAAGATACAATGTTCTGCTCTTCTGAAAGTTATATGTTTAAGATAAGCTTGAGTTCTGGTAATGATAGAAAATAAATTTGCACAGAATCCAACAAAGCCCAATATATAGAATGGGATTGAGCATAAGCACTGAATGTTGAAGATTACAAATAAATGACATGTGCCAAACAATTTTGGTAGAAAATGTAGAGGGCTGAGTAATGAACATAGGAGATAAGGAAATCAACATGTTTTTTTTATTGAAGATTTGTTTTTATTTTACTGGGTCAAACAATCAATCTACTGCAGGACCATATAAACAATCCAAAATGAATTATAGCCATGTCTCTTGGCATAACATTCCCATACCAGAGCTCAAGATTAGCTTTAACGGTAATGCTTTTTTATGTTATATTATTTTGAAAATAATAAGCTGTCATAGGTAGTATTTTGATCTAATTAAGATCTTAATAGACCATTTCACGGTTAGCACCTTACTGCAATGACCCCGAATATCCACAGATCTTCAAACATGAAGATGTCCCACTTTGTACATTTTGAAATATTCACTCCCATAGCGATGCAGGTGCTTTATACTAGCCTTTGTTCCCCCTTTCAAAGAATACTTCCACCTGTGTACCATGGAGTGCACTGAATGTGCATGAATGAATAATGTTACATAACTTTCATGAGCACGTATCCAGTATTTCGTCTCCGTGTATTTCAAAATTTGTTCTGCAATGACCTTTATCTGCTCATGCTCAGACTGCAACCGTGAACTGGCTTATTCCGCCTCATACAGTCGCATTGTACCAAGAATAGGCCTACACTTCCATCTGAAATGAACCCTTTATCTTCATGTACACTGCTTTATACCCATTATAGGAATAATTGACATTACCCAGCAATCTAGGCACTAGATCAATGACCGTCAGCAGTATAGCATACACACAACAAGGGATATTACAGGTGGGAATGTCAAAGTGAAGGTATTGAAACCCCTTGCAAGACTTTAACAGACCCTCTATTACAACTGGAGTTTGTTTTTCAAAATTTTATTAATCCAAAGGTTGTAACTCATTTCGAACATAAGGTTGTTCATGAAGTGAAAATAAATTAACCCTTACTGTACTGGGGGGGGGGGGGGCCTGGGCCCCCCCCCCGTCACATTTTCGGAGATTGCGCCGCAACCGCTTGGAATTTTGAATTGTCGTTTCATGACTTTTTTCCCTCAAGTCTTACGCACATTTTTGATACCATTTTCGTCGAAATCGGATACACCTGTAAGGCATTACATAACAATTAGTATGCGCATGTCATCAAAAAAAAAAAAAAATGAAAATCGCATCAAATTTGCATAAATTATCATTATTAATTACATTAAAACAACTTTTTTGTGTTAGAAAAGAAGTTTCATATGAATAATGAGTTCAACATTCAAAAAGTGGAGTTTGACACGTTTTCGGTAAAATGCATAAATTAGCGCATTTTGCATAATTAATTAGGCTACGACAAAAATTTGCTATTCGGAAAAAACTAATTATACCATCTTGTTCCTTACGTAAATATCTACAAACATGCAAATTTTCGTGTTCATCGGACAATCGACGGCCGAGATCATAGGGGGGGGCCTCCCAGGCCCCCCCCCCCCCCCCCCCCCCCCCCCAGTCAGTGGATGCTCAAAATAGCCCAGTACAGTAAGGGTTAAGGCTCCATAAATCCAATTCAAATGCTTATAATAGCATTTTCAAATTAAGGCTAATTATTTAAAGATTCATATATCCAGGGTCCTCACCAGTGTACATTATCCCTGGTGCAAATTCTAAGTGTGGGTGTGGGGATTGCAAGAAAGAATACTAAATGTGATTTTTTCTTTTTCCCCCCAACGAAGGTACCAACAACCATTATTAATAAATTTATGTTAATAATGTATACCTTTAACTGGCAAATTTGTTATGATCCTCTAAAATCAATGATGAAAAACTGTATTTCACTGAACTTGGACCAAGGGTAAACAACTTCCACCTAAGACCTTTGAAAAGGTGACCCTTTGGAAATAAATGAGCTGTTGAATACATTACCTTTCCTTCCTGCCAGAATGTATAAAATGGGATTGAGGATCAGCACAAGTACCATCGGTATGAACAAGCACAGGTAGTAGGCTAATAAGCGTGTTTGTCTCCTGCACTTGCTGAACAGGCCATCCTGGTTTCCAACACACAGAGAAGAGAAATGATTACAGAAAGAGAAAGGGAGGAGGGAAGAGACAGGGAGACAGACAGACAGACAGACAGAAAGACAGACAGGCAGGCAGATAGAGAGACAGACAGACAGAGAGAGAGAGAGAGAGAGAGAGAGACAGACAGAGATAGACAGAGACAGAAACAAAGAAGAGAAAGGGAAGGAGAGCATGAAGAGAAAGGGAAGGAGAGCATAAAAAGAGAGAGAGAGAGACAGCATTATAGAGATTAGACAGAAGAAGATAGACATAAAACGATAGAGAAAGAATAAAGAAAAATAGAGAATGGAGAGGAGGTGCAAGAAATAGAGGGTAGAGGGTTAAATGACATTATTACCTGTATCAGACATCTGAGCAGTGGTTTTACAAAATCATATTACACTTGTTTGTAATCCTAAAAGAGCTAATCGGGGAATATGAGACCATATTACCATCTCATGAAAAAGCCTATGGACTTTACATGTTAAAAAAGCATGAAATATAAGACCATATTCACTGCGCCGTATTTTGTCATTTTCATTGCGCATCTATTATGCGTACGAGAACCTGCGCATTTTGCGCGTACTCTATTGTGACGTAATAATCACACCAAATTGGGTACACTGTTTGAAGTGTATCAACAATTTTGTCAAGCAGCTGGATGCACAGTGCTGGTTTGACAAAATTTTTCCAGTTTTATGAGATTGTCATGTATGTATTTGCTCTAGATGTCTGATTTAGATAATAATAACAATATTGACTGGCTTAACTTTCGAAAGATACCACATATATTTCCCTCACAAGAACCATATTGCCCTCGTCTTTGACTCGGGGCAATATGAGTCTAGTTTGGGAAATATTATGTGGTATCTCCCTCAAGGCCAGTCCATATTATATAAATATTGTGGATCCATTTGATCCCTTTTAATAATCATAATGATATATACAATGTAATGTTATCATATATATTTTGCGCCAACAAATATACAGAGCTGGAAATTTGGACTGAGGTAATTTCTCTTTAATCGAATTGGAAAATATATGGTTTTTACAAAAAGTTTGTAATTACAACAAAGGGATAGGAGAACAGAACATACAACTTTTAGAATATGACAGAAGAAAATTGTTCCCACTAGTTTAAATTACATCAGCATTTCTTGCTTTTGAAATATTCATTTAAAAATGTACTTCTGAAAAGTTGGTAATACCTCGACATGTTTTCGAGAAATTATTTTTTCTTTACAGGACCACTCTACCAAAACGGGCAAAAAAAATGAAAAAAATGAAAAAAAAGACATGTAAAACCATTTTTGATTGAGATTCTGAACATGATAATTATTTTTCTTAGAAATCATCAATAATACTGAAATCTAGCTTTAAAAATGACGACTCAGAACCCTCAGAAAAAAGCCTAGTTTCGGAGCTGTATTGCGCAATAGCAAATGACGAACTGCAAGAGTATTCTCGGTGAAAAGGAGGGTGATTTAGGCATTAGAATGTCTTTAAAAAGGCAAACTATGATATTAATTGAAGAAAAAAAAAGACATTTATCTGAAAAATAATATGCACTTGATAATGTAGTACGTTTCTGGCAATTTTGTCATTCCTAATTATGAATTACAATGAGATTGTAAGATCCTTAGTTGTAGGACAAATCAGACATTCCCGCAATGATGTCAATTGTGTCATCAAGCCATGTGACCGTATTACCTTTTTTTCGAGGGGGTAGCCCAGCAAGCATTAGATCTGTGAAAAATGGATGGTTATTATCATTTTTTGGTTAATTTAGAGATTTTCTGAAAAATCAGAGGCTGGAATATTAATAAGTAGGGGTGTATTCATGTTTTTAAAAGCTATGTTAGTTGGGTTAGAGTGGCCCTTTAATGAAAAAAAATTCATATTCCCTCCCTTCCTCCACAAACTCCAAAGTCTATGAAAAATTCTGGTCATACTTACGTTGGTTCAATTGTCTCGTAGAGAGCCCATAACCCAAAAGCAATAAAGGCGATAGGGAGTAACCAACTGATGATAGAGTAAACTAGCAAGATGTGTCTCCTGCAAATCAACAGCATAATACCAAAATATATCATGTTCATAATGCAATTTAATTTACTTCTGAAGTATTAAAATTATTTCATTTTGGAGTAATCAGTACAAACACTTATACATATCAGTTCTAGGACAATTACCCCCAGGACAATTACCCCCAAGCCAGTTACAAATGCGACAATTACCCCCTGAAAAATCCCCCCAAGGACAACCAACCCCTGTGGACAATTACCCCCCTCCCCCACTCGATGAAAATCCCCCCCCCCCTTTTCCCCTCAAGAAAAATTCTGCTTTTATTAAAACCAACTTATTCAGGGTGGACTTCACCTTTAATGAACAAGTGGGTAATTTTCCAGGGTGGGGGGGGGGGGGGGTAGTTGTCCCAGGGGTTAATTTTCCACGGTGGGGAAGGAGGGGTATTTTTAGGGGTTAATTGTCCTGGGGGTGTAATTGTCCTTGGGAGGGGGGATTTTCCTATGGGGTAATTTTGAGGGGGGGGGGGTAATTGTCCTTGGAGAGTAATTGTCTTGGGGGGGGGGGAATTCTCTGGTGTGGGGGGGGGGGGGTGTCCTTGGGGGTAAATTTCAGGGGGGGGGGTAGAGATTGACCAGGGGGTAATTGTCCTGATAAAGTACATATCATCCATTCATAGCTACAAATGTGTTAACTCTGTGTATCATTGAACCTCCTTCTGGCTCCAAGCAACCTACAAAAGGCTGACAGTGACGTCTCCTCAGAGTGTTATGAATTTTGAAATTAAAGGTGAAATTCAAAGAAAATCACAAATATGTCAACTAATGTATCACTAGAAACTGGTAAGCTAACAGATGGCCATCATACAAATTTTAGGTCAACTACATATCGGATGATTTATAAAAATACAAATACAACCACCTCAATAGCAGCTGGAATATACGAGAGATTCGCCGGAAAAATAACGATGTTTTAATGACGTCACTACATGGACCAATACTGCCCGAGCAGACAACATCGCATAAAGAATGAACATAATTGCAAAGCTATTATTTGTCAAATCATAATGAGTTTAGTGTATTTAAATGTAATGGCATGTCAAACCACTCAAAAGGGGATATGACCCGATTCTAATAACTAAAATCTTTTGCTTGTAAATACACAGGATAGGGGTTGTATTAACAATCAAAGAAACCAGACTTTCAAATTGAAAAACCCCCAGAATTATATTAAGGACGGCATTTGTTCCCTCTTGAAACGCCGAACATACCATGGTGTGTGTAGCTGAATATACAATGGCATCTTATTTTGTTTACAAGCGACAGATTCCTTTATTTTTATATCGCTGCATTTGTCATCAAAATAAAAACATGCGCGGGATTTAGAGTGAGGCAATAGATTATACATTTAGCCTAACGGTAGTGAAGTAAGAGAAAGAACTGAAGAGAAGATGAAAACACAGGCACTGAAAATGTGTGAGATGTCATGGGACATCGTCTGCTTGTGCAAATCATGTCCATACTGTGATCTCACACATCTCAGCAGCGTTCGGAGAGCTCTTCAGGTGCTATGCCGGGGCTGTATTTAAGCGTTTTGTAATTTATAATAATCATTACTTCAAATGTTTCCAAGCATTGAATTTTGATAACCTTGTCGAATCAAAGTTTCAACTTTACAATAATGAAAATAAAGTTAGTTTTTAAAATCAATGAATATCTACTTTAAAGTTTCAGTTTCAGAATTACATCCTTTGAAAAGACATTAATCCACATCAGCCACTTCCCACCTACGTGTACATTGTAAATGGGTACCTTGCAATATATGCCTGGGTGATTATAATTGCAGTGCCCTCAGCAAGAACAGCATTGATGCTGATGAGGCTTCCCTGCCTAATCAAAACTAATATTACATTTACACAAGGATGGTTGGCCTGGGGCCTTACACTGTCAATGGGTTAAAACCCTTAAACAGGAAACAGGAAGAATTGTCCTTCTAAAAAAACACGTCATTTTTTCAATTTCAACTGATGTTGGCTTACACTGCGGTCTTCTGGAGGAAGAGATAGACATCCACTGTGTAACAAGTTATCCAGACGTACGTAGCAAAGAAGAAAAAATGAATCCAGGCCTGAAAGAGTAATACACACTCTTAATTTTTAGAAGCTTCAAAACATATTTGTAAAATATCCTAGTATACTGTATATAAGCATGAACATACATGTATGTATGTCATGTTGACAGTTTATAGATTCAAATTTGTCTTGCAAATATCTGCCCCAAGGGAGAAGGCATTTAGGGAGAAAAACAGAATTTAATGATATTTTTGTAAACAACAAATGGGAGGGTTATGTGACTTGTCACAATCCACTGACAAAACTGCCAATGTGAGACTTGCACAGACTTAGTGATTTTCATAACTTTCTTAATATTTTCTGATTTATATCAAACTTTTGTCATTTTATTTATCTTATTTTTCTGCTTCCGTACAAATGAACTGATTACAATGGTTGGATTTCTCTTTAAACAGCATCTACTTATATAGTTATTAGCATAGAATCAAATACTGCAGTCTGCTCACCGTTGCTAGGATACAGAGCCACTCCCATGACTTGCTGGATAGTTTGTTTTTTAAGCTGTCACCTGACTTTGTTAAGATACTGATGGATTCACTGGAAAGTACTATCAGACCTGAAACAGCCAAACAAAATGAGGAAATACCATGAAAAAATAGAAATAAATTCGAGTAATTCATTTCATATTTGAAGGGCAGTTCTATTTTCATCATAAAAGATGAAGCCTTGTGTACTGTATGTGCAGGTACTTTTAGTGTACGGTTCAGTTAGCACTGGTACTAGTAAAGTGTATGTCTCATTTGCAGGCCAAAAATATGAAAAAAATTAAATTTCAACAGCATTTGAAAGATAATACTAATTTAGAACTTCCCTTAAAACTAAAAGGCTTGAAAATGTCTTTTTGTGAGAAAATATCATCCATAAGTTGTTGAAACGAATTAAGCGATCACGTTTGTTTAATTGAATAATCTGATTTCTCATACCATTGTACCAAATGATCATACATTTTGTGCTGCACAAAGATTCAATCATTTTAATTTGGACCATTACAAGAAGTGGGTTGTTGATGTAGAGAAATGTTCATGTACCCTTTACAGATTATTATTAAGAGTAAGCATTATTCAAGCAGGACAACCATTTTGGGTCTAGTTTGGTGACCAGCAAAGGCATTAAAAGAAAGAACAGAAAGGGAGAAAAGAAAGAAAGGAAAGCCTTTGGTCCAATTTGGTGGCCAGTGACAGCATAAAAAGAAAGGTAGAAAGGAAAGAAAGGGAAAGCAAAGCCATTAAAAGAAAATAAACAGCGATTTTCTTACCTATACAAGCCATGATATCTGCAAAGGACAACCAGAAGAGAATCCATCTCTGTCTTATCTCCATCAATCCAGGCCTAATAACACTGTCCAAGTTGGTAGTATCTCTCCTCCTCGGGAACAGCATGTACAGGGTCCCGACCACACTCAGGACGGACATTACAATGACGGTTGAGTTGTACAGGTAGAAGTACTTCTTCACTCTATGAAGGTGTTTGTCTGTTGGGTGGATGAGCGATTCGTTTGTTGTTGAATTGGCAATGCCGAAGAACGAGCAGCAGAGTAAATCGAGGGTGGGTGAAGCCATTTTGTTTTTGTTTCTTTCAAAACTATTTCGTCAAGACTTGTGGACGATGATTTCTAAGCTTGATGTCTCCAAGAGGTTTGGAGCTGGAATGATGGCTTGGTCCTGGGGGTGTCTTCTATAAGTATAAGTTCTATTTACTTATTCCACAAGGACTTTGCACCACGGCACATGACCAACAGTCAGCAGTCCTTTTTATTTTCACTTCCTGAAAGAGGTAGAGGTTTGAACAATAAATGAATTACCTCTGTATAAGAACGTGACTCAATTCAGGTGTATTGGTATTTTATCCACAATAATTTCATGCCAATGCACAGCTCCCCAGATCAGTCCCCCACAAGCAACATGATGATGAATGAGAGTGCTTCGGCAACAAAATACTTTCACTGGACACTGTCGATTCTTGAAAGTTATCCTCCTCTGTAACGTCCCTTTGTAATTGGCCAATTACTGCAACATCATCTTCATGTACGTTTAATGAGCAACTGATCATAAAACAAAAGAGAAATATAGGGTAATTACAATACTGCTGAGGAAATGATGTGCATACATTTGATCTGGTTTAGAATAGAACAATGATTATCTAATAAAGTCCATCAAGATCGTCACTTATTAAAGGAACACTCTTTATTCTATTTGTTAATTTTAATTTCTAAACTATAGTAGGATTCTGTATGTTGAAAACGATTTTGAATAAAAGGATTGTCTTAATAATCGACCTAGATAAAATAATTTTTCTATTCTATGATTCTAATTAAATACTGAAATTTGTTTTCTACACCTGTAGATGCATTTCAAAACATGATATAATATTATCTAAAAATCTAATTGTTTAAAAGAATTATATTTTATTTGTCCCTTTCTTATAGTCCTAACTTGACTCCTAAAAGTGAGGAGGAAGGGGTGTGGTATTTTGATTACTGTAATAATTTGGACAAATACTTCATTCCAGCCAGCCCCCCCCCCCCCAAAAAAAAAAAAAAAAAAAAAAAATTGAAGGGGTTAACAAATAACAGTCATAAACAAGTCATACGCTGTAGTTTCTAAATTAATCACTTTCGCTGGCTCACACATCCATTTCATCTCCAATGGACCAGCTACATGTAGTGCTCACCAGTGTTGTGATATCACTAAGTTCATCCTCCAATTTCTCTTATCATTGTTTTGCTTAGGAAAATAATAATACTAATAAAACTAAATCTCACATCCTGGCCATGGGGTGGGTGACACACACAGTTTTAACGTACATACATGTACATGAACATGCATGCATACAGTCTGTTGAACAAAATTTGCTTAGGAAAATGATAACAGAAAACTGAATATCACATCCTGGGGTGGGTGACACAGTGACATATACCGGTGTTGGACAAAAAGTGAACTGCAAGTGTGCAACAAGATCAGGCCGTCATTGAAATTGAATTGCTCATACTTAACAAAAATAATTTTATCTTTCATTTGGTTGGTAGTATTGGTACATGTACATGGTACTCTCTTTTCATAGACTTCAAATGTTGACAATTAAAGTGAGAGCAAGAAAATTAAATAACTTTTCAGACATACACATGTTCATGTATACATGTATGTTGTAGATATACAATGTACAACCAAATGATGTACTGGTAAATCTGAACATGATCTAATTTTGAAGACATACTGTAGATCGATGTACATTATGTGTATGTTCAATGAACAATCAAGGTAAGAGAGAGACCAAAATAAAAATATAGCACAACATTGCATAAATTTGCATGATTTAAAAGTTTCAGAATGGCATGCCCAAATGCTATATCATCCAAGTCATCAAAACAACCATTCACGAACAATACAGAACAGATTCTCTATCAATATCAATTGTAGACCTACATGTACACATGGCTACAGTATGTACTTTAAAATTGCAGAATTGAGGGATTATCATCAAGTAAATTTGTGGTTAGCAAAGAGGAAGAGGTTTGGTTTTAATCGATTTATGGATATCCATTGTAATAGAGACAACCACTGTAAAACATTTATGAATTTTTACACAGACTTTAATTACAGTGAAAATGTACAGTAAGTATGTAGGGTGAAAGTTGAAAATGTGCACACTTTATACAAATGTGCCAGTCCAAGTTGCACCCCAATCAAATCTTGTATGAAATACATTGATTGCTTTAATAGCAATTTACAGGAATCCCATCATTCAGAGTAAGATTTGGATATAATTTCATGGAATTACCAGGTTCTGCAAATTCAGTGTACAATGTCGTCTTCAAGAACATGGATTGCATGAATCTGCACAATAGAGTCATAGAATGGCATGTGTACCCAAACATGTATGTTATCATAAAAACAAAACAAACATCATTCTAAACATCATGTACATGTTCTTGGTGTTTAAAATAGGGATCCCCTTCATCAGATAAACAATAAAATATTCTATGCAAAAAAGAGACTTGAATTAGGTTTTCAGTGATTTATGGATAATCAGTGCATGCGAAAGACAGTGTTGAAAAAGGTTGAGACAAGCAGTCTATTAAAGTAAATATGTCATTCATGAATGTTGACTGTACATGTTCAAACAAGTATGCTAGATGTATTTCAAAGAAGATAGACATTGTATTGTAAGTATTTTATCTATTGATTCATAGAATATGGGAATCCTGCATTTCTGAGAAAGGACAGCCTGGGGACTTTATGGAATAGCTGGTTCCCTCTATTTGCACACGTACAAAGCAATCATACAAAGTCTGTTTTGTGTTTGTTTTTATTATGAGTTAATAAAAAGGGGCATATTCTGAAAATGAACCTTACTAATTCGTCCAGAATTTTGGGTGGTAAATTGATTTTCTTAAAAATTAGAATCATGTGCTGTAAAATTGTCATTTTGTATCTAGGTGAGAGTGCGAGCTTCATGTTCACATGTAGTTTAAGCTTCTAAAAACCACTCTGTGGACTTATTATTTACACAATTTCTTGCTGTCAGCTGCTTCAAGATCACTGGAGCAAAGAAAGGTAATAATGTATAGCAAGCATCCCCATTCAGTGAAGGGTTAATCCTTTTTAACCAAATAGATTTTTTTCTACCAATCTTGACCAGAAGTGCATTTAAAACTCAATAATGCGGGCATCATCCCGTTGAGTCCAGTATTAAGGGCGTTTTCTGCTACCTACTGAAAGAGATCATGCTTAATCTGAGGAATTTTTGGAGCTCTTTAAAAAGAGCACACAATAGGGCAATTCAAATTTCGAGAGATTCCTTCTCGACTTTGCCGAAATGTTTGTTTGCCATTTTGCCAGATTTTTAACTTTTCTTCTCAAATCTCCCCTTTTCTTCCTGATTTTCCCCCAAGTAAGGGTATTCGTAATGCGCTGCCCAGCATCCAGTGGCGTACTCGTAAAGGCACCCTACATTTCTGCCGGGGCAAGCCGCGGATTCCCGACGTTCATCTTTTCTTCCCAATTCTTCCCATTTCCTTCTTTTGCCAAAATGTTCGTTGCCATTTTGCCAGATTTTTAACTATTCTTCTAAAATCTCCCTTTTTCTTCCTGATTTTCCCCAATTTTGCCAGTCATAGGAACCCCCCCCCCTCCCCAGGTATTCCCGGCCTGCCTCCATAAACAGCTAGGCGTTGCTGTACTGAAAGTTGCGCAAAAGTAAAATGCTAGCAGTTGAGTGTTTGCAGACGGCAATAAAGCGCAAGGAAACGCTCTCAAGGTTGAACTTTTTCTAACTCATCTGGAGCGGGGGAGCGGGGCAGCGTTTGCATATCTTTATCTATCGCAAGGAAATATAGTGTACCGAGTGTGTATCAAGCATGTCCCGTTGCGTTTTGAGTATAAATTCAGCTCAGTCTAATGGGCTGGTCAAATGACATACAATTTGAAAACTCTGAATCCTGCCACTATTCAGTCAGTTTTCTGATGTGGTTAGGGATTTTGGACATTCAGTCAAATTTTCACCAGTTTTGTTTTCAACAGTATCTAAAGAAAAAATGAAAATGTTGACAACAAGTAATAAGTATGCACCGAATGAAATCGCTTGAATTGAGCTTGAAAATTGACATTTTCTTCCGCTGAGGGGCACATCACCTCTCAGCTCAGACACCCCCCCCCCCCCCCCACCTGTCCGCACAACACGATGCTAATTCGCCGCTTCTGTCCGTCTTACATTGTGCCCCCCCCCCCCCCCCCCCCCCCCCCACCCGGCACCCCTTTCCAAATTCCTGGATCCGCGCCTGAATGGCATCCCATGTTTCATAAAACATGTTATCAATAACAACTTAATAATTGTTATAAGCTACTGAAATCCTTGCGTTTGATTGGCTGTGAGAAGATTTGTCAACAAGATTTATGGCAAGGCTTTATACCCATGATACCCGGACCGTCAAGGTAAAGTTTCAGAACCTCTGGTTTATTTTAGCAGCTTCTCCGCTGTCCGCAATCGCGCTGGCACTGTTCCCCTTAGCTTACTGGTCACGCGCGCTGGCATGTGTGGTGTGTTTGTGATACAATCCAGCTGTCGCGGGCCCAAGACAAACCAATCTTAATTCGTGTAATAATAGGTAGGAAACCGTGGCACCGAAACCGTTGTAAAAAATAAAACAATCACACAACATAATCACCACAAAGAAAAGACAACTTACAGACATGGATCTATCACAATCTTTGATTAGGCAACGTCGGGAAGATTAACGCTACATCGAGAAGATCGACTCGAAATATTTATGAAACTGTTGATGAGAGACAATTAAATCAGAGATGTCCCACTCAGAACTGCATGCAGAGCTCTGCTATATACACTTCCGTAGTACACTCCACAAATTGTAGATCTAAGATGGCTTACTATTTTATAAGTCTGTCTCTATTTACTGTCAAATGTGGAGGAAAAAAAGAAACATAAAAACTTGAAATGCAGAAATGCCCCAGGTTTTTTAAAGCTAGGATGTCGAAATTTACGACGTAGGATGGAATAACCCCCTCCAACACCCTCATCTGTTCGGTTGCTTCGCTACCTCGCCAGGCACGTAGCCAGAGTTCGATGTTTTTTTTTTTTTTTTTTTTTTTTTTTTTTTTTGGGGGGGGGGGGGGGGCACATACATGTAATCGATCGAGGTAAAAAAAGGGGTCTAAAAATGTCAACCTATCTGGGAATTTTAGGGGGCACGTGCCCCCCCCCCCCCCCCCCCCCCCCGTGGCTACGTGCCTGTACCTCGCGTGGTCACATTAAAGGTAATACAAAGTTTTGGGAAATGTTGAAAATTGGGTAGATAGTGATTCTTTACAATACAAAATTTTGATATATTTGGATGCCCCTATGGATGTATTATAAGCACTAGAACATTTAGTTCCTAAAACATTCAATTTCGATAATTTCAAATAGCGCCTTTGGCCGTACATGCAGTGGTAGCTGCGACCATGAAAATCTCAGAATATGTAGTTGAGATATATAGTTTTAAACGAAATAGCTAATTGGTTGATTTTAGTCAAGAAACATTGTTTAATAGCTTCACTAATATCTTGACCTTAAGAGGGAGCTATAATTATACAACATAAACAAAATTAGACTCGATTTCAACCGCGACAACGGTTACTGAATATTGTAGGATCGCATATGCTTCCAATATGTTCATTTGAACCAAATTCATGACCCAATACCAAAACTTTGTATTACCTTTAATGATGCCATTCCATTTTTAAAAACCTCCCTTGAAAAAAAATCCTGCGTACGCCACTGGCCTATTATGATAAAAGAGTAAAAAGATGGCCTTTGCCCTTTGGTTTGCCTGTCATTGATCAAGAGTGGTCTAAAATGCAAAGTTCCAATTACTACAAAACGTAAATTTATACTACTGGAGGGCTATACCGCCGAAGTATCAGTCGACATTTGTTTTGTTCGGGTACATAATGTTGCGCTGGGACTGTTCCTGACTTCAACGAATCCTCCAAGCAGACAGATGTGTTTTTTGTTCTGAAAATAGCACAAAGTCTTCTTAGTCGGAGCAAGGGAGGAAGAAGGGGGGGGGCTCGGGGGGGGGGGGGGGGGGGGGGGGGGGGGGGGGAACGTGACACCCGAGTTGTGCTCGAGCAATATTCCAATTCTTATGTGCTCAAATCCATCAGAAAATGTTCGCACTTGACGCCATCCATTCATCTTTCTCAATTCTGATTTACGCGAAAGGAGGAGGACGAATCGACATATCGAAAACATTAATTTTCAAGAAAATGTTGCTACGTGTTTAGGAGAAAGAGAGAGGGGGCAGGGGCGGATCCAGGATTTTCCAACAGGAGGGGGGGGGGGGGGTGTGAAATGTATGAAATTGCGAGCGCAAAGCACGAAGCCTTTACGACGTGGTGTCAGGGGCCCGATTTATAAGGGCCCCTGACACCACGTCACCACTTAGAAAACTAAACCGTTCTTATGTCCATCTCATGCGTTAAAGTAAAGGACTTAAAGGCTCAATCTTAACAAAAAATTAATTATGAATTCCACATCTTCAAATATTTATTTCGTAAACAAAATAGACAGTGATACAATTGCATCACAGTCAGTATAAAACTCCGTTGTTTTCTATATATCACATCGTATATAGACATTCAAGAAAGTAGGCAGTACAGCTTTATAATGCAAGTGTACAAATAGGATACATACGGCAAATAATTATACTTATAAAAAAAGTATTTTTTAAATTTCAATCAATTAGGAAAAAGACTTACCAATAAGTTTTGTTTTGAACAGAAGGGAATAATAAAATGTGGAGTCATAAAGCAGATTGACACCCGGGATGAATGGAAGCGGAAGATACATGGATATATAGAAACAGAGTGAGAGGGGAGAGAGAGAGAGAGAGATAGAGAAAATGAGTGGCTTGCTTTCAATGGTAAGAAGGCTCTTGGAGGAAAAGAAGAAGAAGGGAGAGAGGAAGAACTTAATGATAATTATACAATATCAACAATTATTTGTTACCATTACCGTAGGTCATAACAATTGCAATATTCAATGTCAAATAAGTCTACTACGATCATTAGTCACGTCCTCTCTCGAGACTTATTTTCCACTAATACAGCCACAGTGACTGTTCTTAAGCACAGTAGCGTCTACAGAAATTCATCATGGGGGGGGGGGGGGGGGGGGGGGGGGGGGAGGGAGGCATAGTGTGTCCGGAACCCCCCCTTCAACTTAACTGTGAACACTACTAATTGCATTAATTGATGATTCAACTACATGTACTTCAACTTATGTTCAACTACTGCTGGATACGCTCCTATACAAGTTATACAATCAAAGGAAAAATAATTTAATATCAAATCAAAAGTAACAAAAACATAATGGACACAGTGAAAATGACTATGGTTGAATATAACAAATGCATTCCTTCTTAATATGCAATTCACGACGGATAACGCTTGAAATAATATAAGCAGTGATAAGGGGGAAAGAGAAAATGTAGGCATGCAAAGGTAAAGTGTTCGTAATGAGCTTACAATCTGTATAATGTTTTACCACATATTAATATTGGAATATTTCCACCTGCTCATTTCTTACACCAAGGCATGAATTCTATATGGATACTTCTCTTCTTTCGTATGACTTCTGGTGAATGAATAACTCGAAGGTTTACTAAACCATTAAAAAGGCAATTCTGATCCGCCACCTACGGTTCAGGCTCGCCTTCTAGTATGTCACTATTGTCGTCGGGAATATCATCAATCTCGGGTTGGTTGATAGTCCACCATCTTCTGAGTTGTCTTCTTTCCTTCTCTGTCCCGGTATTTCCTTCAAGACAAACTCCCTGAAAGTGTCCTCCGCTTCTGCCAGCCTGAAGTACGTCATGAACACGGACTGCGTTCTGACAGCAAACGCATGTGCTTCTTGTGCTACGCGCTCGGCAGCGGGGCAGTTGACGACGTCGTCGTCACACGGTCCTGTCCTATGCAAGGCCGACCTCAACCGTGCGTCAGTTCGACCCAGGTAGCGGATGATCAACTTGGCGGCAGCGACGGCATCGTCCATAGCAAGAAATGCATCCTGCAGCTCATGATCTGCGCATTTCCGTATGCTCTTTCCACTCTCCCTCTCAAAGCACTCATCTGATTTTATCGACAAATTCCTTTCTCCCGTCGGGGTTACAGTTTCGACGTCATCAGATTGTGAATTCGTAGAAAGCGTTTCTTCAGTGAGAAGTACCTCGGGTGATGTTCGTTCGAATGGGTGTCATTTCCAACACACCGCACTGATGATCTGTAACTTCGTCATTTTTCGAGGGGAATAATGTGATTACGTCAGCCAGCGGACTCTCACTCTCCTCAACCGTCACCGATTCATTTTTCTGAGGTTCCCGTTCAGGTACACCATTGAGACGCTCGGCAATCAGGTTGTCGATCAGTTCTTGGACCGTCTGTGGCCGATCCCTACTTGAGGGTCGGGAATCTTGGCTCTCTCTTCCGCAGGATCAACATCAGATGCCCGACTAATTTCTCTCGATCTTGACTCACTTGCCAGTATGTTGCCGACATCCTGTTGCGACGAAGGAATGTTGCCGAGCGATGATGATGAAATCGCCATTCGCTGATCACCGTGACGAACGTGAAGATTGACACTCGAGACTCTGTACGAGCCGCCGACGTGTAATCCCCACCGCTATCCCCTATCAGAATCCCTTGAAGCTGTTCGTCACTGCCTGACACAGATTCAGTCACCACGTCCATGTCACTGATCTCAGGTTGAACTGCACGCTGAGCTTGGAGTCTTATGTTCATTCGTCCTAAACTTGGGACTTCTAGAATATGCTGGGCTGCAACCGATGACGGAAGGTCCGCTAGCGGAGTGGTGGGTTCATCAGCGACAGGACTTTCCTGGTCCTGGTGGTTGGTATATTCAAGTAATTTCCACCCCTGTGTGGTTGGAGTCATGGTTCCTTTACTCATCGTTACATGAACCATATTATCATCCACGTTCTGAATTCCCCCATCGCTATTATCGATATCAAGTTTTGTCGCTTGAATAACTCTCGGCGTAGCCAAGTTTTGGGCGTTCTTCGGTTTGTGGTGTACATAACCTGGAGCTTCTCTGTGTAGTGGATTGCTCTTCGTTCACACATGGCCCTACCATGCCACTTTTGTCGCAGCTACTACAACCATCATCAGGAAGGAGATTTTTCGTCCCATCTACAGATTCTAGCTCCTTCCAATCCGTCTGAATACCAAGGAGACGAGTTGCTTGTTGTCAGAAGATGACTCATTTAAAGAAGGAAATAAGGAAGAATTCGATTCGGCGTTACCGCGCAATTCAGGTGAAGTGCGAGAAACCATGGATTCCACCAGTTTTCGAACTGCATCGATGACTCTAATTGACTTTGCCGAAGTAGACCTGAATTCTCCCCTTGCATTATCAGAATCTTTAGATTCAGGAAGAGTTGTTGTACAATCATCACCATCTTGCCGAGAAATTATCATTCTGTCAGGTTCTTCTTCGGAATATGGGACCGCCAATGCCTCCTCTTCAAGGCTGCCTGCAACTTGTAAATCTTCTACGACCTTCTCATTCGTGTGCACATCGACAATGTCCTCGACTGCTTTCGGTTCACTGATAACCTTCATCTCATCCCGTTCTTCATTTGCTGACAGCTTATCTTGGAGCCATCAAGAATATCTTCGCAATTTACTTTTGGAATATCTTCTGATTCATAAAAAGTCTTTTCACAGTTTTCCTTTGGTATGCCTTTATCATATTCTTCACTTTGTTGAGCTTCCTGTTCTGTTTTTACTTCGTCGTCCTTTTCGACATGTTCGT